AACTGCTATTTAAAAAAGACCACCCAAGGGCGCCCGAGTGGCTCTGGTGGTTAAGCGTCCAACTTCGGCTCAGGTCATGATCTCGCGGTTCGTGAGTTCGAACGGGCTCTGGGCTGACGGCTCAGGGCCCGGAGCCTGCTTCCGATTCTGTGTCTCCCTCTGTCTGCCCCTCCCCTGCCTGCACTCTGTCTCTCACATTGTCTCAAAAATAAATAAACATTTAAAAAAAAATAGAAAAGACCACCCTGCGCCATTTTAAGGATCGAAGTTCTCAATTCACCAGACGAGGACACAGTTTTCCTTAGAGCCCACCACTAGCGGACTGCAGAGGTGACAACTAGAGAGATCGGTCATCTTTCTGAGCTGGGTCTCCCAGTGACACTGCTGTCACAGTGTGAAGGACCCGTGTGGGACATATGAGGGCTGAAGGGGACTCGGGGACAGCACTGGCCTCACAAGTCAGGACCCTCGTGCTCGTGGGCCAACAAGCACTGGCTGACCATGGAGAGAGGTCTGGAAGGCCTCCCCCAAGACTTCCTAGGGGAACAATCACATGTCAGCCAGCCAGCTGGTCACCTCACCTTGAGACGTTCTGAGAAACCCTCCCTTTTCACCAACAAACTGATATACAATGTAATGACCTAAGAGTATAAAAGGAGCCCAGGCCTGGTTCCTCCACCACCGCCAGCCCCCACTGGCTCATCCGCTCCCCGCACCCGGGGAGCCCAGCTCTGGCTGGGACACCCCCCCATCTGCTGTGGGAAAGAGTCTGTAGGCTCAGCACATGCAGCCCAGAGCAAGCAGCACCGATCTCCCATCTCCTGCCCACCCGGATTCCATCACCTTCCGGAAGCCTCCTCTGACAACCAAGCCTAAGGTACCACCCTACCTCCTCTCACCTCCTGGAGACAGGTCTCTGCTACTCAGAGCACATCTTAAAGGAAAACACAGCAGCATCCAAAGAGAGAGAACAGCTTGGTCAGACTGAGCTCTGTGGAGACGGCCACAGAAGCACCTGGGGGCTCCTTCCCTGAAACCCCTTACTGGTTGCTGCTCCTGCAGGAACTCGGACACAGGGTCCCTCCTAGAGCCCTCCCGGATGCCAGGAGACTTACAGCAGGGCCGTCACTAAGGCAGAAGAATAACCAGGCACCTCCTGGCCCTGGTGCGTGGCTATGATGTACAGTAACGGCCAGTGCCCAGAAGGCAGCTTCGGGAACTCACAAGGTACTGCAGAGAGTGGGGACGAACCTGGGTGCCAGCCCAGAGGGCAGTCCGGCACGCCACCCTGCCTGAAGCCAGAGCCCTGCCCCCAGTGAGAGGGTGGCTCTCCCAAGGGGAACCAGCAGGGAGACGCCCGACCGTGCCACAGGCCCGGCGTGATCAGGAAAGAAACGATGGCCCCAAGAGAGCGGGGCTCACATTATGCCTACGTGCCTCCCCCAGGCACCCGCCCAGTCCAGCCCCACCTGCTCTCAGGGGCTCCTCACCTACTCAAGAGTGACCCGTGGGGAAGCCTCTCCTTTCCACGGACTGCCCCCACCTTGGGTCCTGTCGTGGAGGGCGGTGCGGAAGGGAGGGAAGCACTCGCACTTCCCACACGTACGCTGGAGTCTGGCTGGGGCGGGGGGAGGGTCCCGTGGGCTTCGTGCGGTCTGGGGAGCACTGGCTGCCGCTGCCCCGCCATCTCGGGGCCCACGGTGACTCCAGTGCTTTCTCTGGCAAGTGTCCAACCATCGGCCTTCCCAGCAGCAGCTACAAGGGCTGCAGACTCAGGGACCGGGTCCCCTCCCGGCTCAAGAGGTACACCACAGCGGCCCTGCCGGCCCTCACGGGCAAGGAAGGAGACACGGGTGCACTTCAGTCTGAGCGGCCTCAAAAACAAAGAGCTCTGCTCACTCTGCAGCCCAGATGCTTTGTTTCCGTCAACAAAGAGTGTGCTTGCTGGCCCCGCCTGCGTCCACCCGCACATTCCCAGCACCCAGCACCCACCCACCTCAGGAGCAAGGCCCGGGCAGAGCGTGCGCCACAAACCCCAGCCACATGGGTAGCCCCGCATCCTCTCCGTTCTTGAAGAGACCGAGCCCATCTCCCAAGGACAGAACTGGCTGGCTGGACACAGTGTCCCCATGCCACCTGTCAGTTCCAAGCGCACCTCCACGAACGGCCCGGGGCAGAGCCCTCTGCACGCCTCTCCCTCGTGGCTGTCTCAGTACAGGGCCACTGCGGGGGGCGGGGGGCGGTGCCACAGCTGCAGAAGGGGCCCTCCTGCAGTTTGGGGTGAGGACTGGAGGGGCTCCGAGGTCCCACAGTGAATTTGGGGCCCCACCCTGGCCATAACCTTCTCACGGCCCTCTCAAGGTGACCCCGGTGCCCACGCCATCATCCAGATCCCCTCTGCAGCCCCACGCTACCGGCCTGCCCGAGGTGGGTCGCCGCCCTCTGAGAGTTCCTGACGGCCCGTGCCCTGGCCCGGCCAAACCAGCTGCCTTCTCTCTCTCCGGCGGCTGAGCTACCCCCTTGCTCCAAGGAGGGGCCTGAAGATCTGTCCTCCTGGGGGCTCTCCTTGGGCCCGAGGGGCCATACTTTGGGCCTTGTAGTCACCCTCACCAGAACTCAGGAGTTCCTCCCAGTGACCGTCGCTCCAAGCTGGTGTGGTTTCACTCGGACCAGACTAGACTGAGGTGGTCCTCACAATGTGAGTTTCAGGGCGGGCTAGAACTGTGTCTTTATTCCAGTAATTTCAAACTGTCACACTGCACATCTCGTGCCTGAGAGGGGGTGGCCCACGTCCCCACGTTCCGTGAAGACCAGAGAAGAGGGGAGGTGGGAAACAGGCCACACATCCTGACTGACGATCAGGATCCAGTCTGTGCCCGAGACACCCAACTTGTCTACGGCCCCCTCCTCGGTGGGCCCTTCCAGAAATGAAGCAGGACACCACATCACGGCTTAGCACTGCCTGAGACAACGTGAGGCTTATGACGACCCTGTATCACTGGCTCTTAAGACTCATGCCAATTTCAGAATGTGAAATGTGAAACAAGGTCTATCTGAGGATGACAAAAACCTGGTCCTTCTGTAAGAAGATATTAAGCAGTAAGACCCAAGACTGGAGAGTGAGTCACCAGTGCACCCAGACGCGGGGACAAACACGCTCCCTCCTCCTCAGGCGCTGGGCTGGAGGGCAGGCACCCTGACAGTGGCTTAGTGTCTGGGTCAGAGCCAGGTCAGCCCTGCGTACCCACACAGCGGTGCTCCCCACGTGCACCCCCTCCAACCACACTGTTGTGTCCCTGCAGGCTCTGTCCCTGCCATGTCCCAGCACCGATCAACCTAAAACACCCTCAGTCGCTCATGCTTTTCAGGGCCTATCCTCTCTCATTCGACAGTGGCGATGGTCAACATTCGTCCAAGATAACCACTCTTAAGGGACAGGAGAAAGATGCCTATCAGTTTTACCTCTGACCCCAACAGGCCTCAGGCTGACACGAATCTGTCATTTGTGCCTTAAGGGCGGGGCTCTTGTGCTAAATGGAGACGTGGCCCGGGACACACAGGTTTCCAAACCCTCAGCCTCCACCGGGGGATCACGTGGGCAGTCACATAAAGTAGGGCAAGGGCGCCTGGCCCACTGTGAGGAGGTCTGAGCTTGGCCGCCCGAGTACGACCCTATCTCACCAAGAAAGATGTTCCCACCTGACAAATAAGATGCCAGCCAGAGCCCGTGTGGTTGCGGGCATAGCATCTGAGTCCCAGGAAGCAGACTCTTCCGGACAATTTCTGAGCTGTGGCCCTTTCCCACTGTTTTCTCTCACAGACACCGGCGCTCGACAAGTATCTTGCGATCAAAGAGGTGGAAAGACCAGGAGGGACATGGCCCTTCCTCGCGTCTGCACCCTGACGGTATTCTTCCCTCGCCCCCACGCCATTCTGCCTGCCTCCTCCGTGAACTGAGAGATGCCCACACCGGAGAATCCACTCTTC